GATAAATGAAGATTGTTCCACTTCTGCATGATGTTCCGGTGCGGGCCTGCAAGAATTCCGGATCTAAAGGAGGAAAGTCATTAAGCAGCCTAGCTGGCTGGCTGTAGGAGGATCCAGTGACGAAACCTCTGTTGGCTACTCCGCCGATTAAGTTGAGAATTCTCAAACCTACCAGCTTCTACACAAATCTGAAGATCAAGTTGAGAATTTTCCTTTCACCCTAACCCAAACCATCAGACTGATTCAAAAATCCTGACTGCTCATTCTGAGGAGTTATCACCTTTTTCAAAATTCTCGACTTTATTGGCGGAGTAGTTGGATCTTGGCATCACCCTGCATCCCTGCATAGCTCATGGATCATGGACAAGACATCCAGGGTGCATGTAGGATGTAGGAAAACCAAAGGACACTGTACAAAGCGCCATCTTGATCATAACTTGTGATAAACCACTGAAGAAAAGACAGAATTATCAAAACCAAAACTGACATCCTACGGTATCCACCCCAGAGACCAAAAACCATGGCGTCGCTACTCACAGCAATTCCCGTGTTCGTTGTTCTACTTTCGATTCTGATAATGGCTCCACCGTTCGACAAGGGAGTGATCGTTGGTGACTTTGATCCAGGAGAGTACACCGGGAAGCACAATCCTCTCTCTGATCCCAACATTATTGTCGAAGATATTTTCTTCTCTTCTCATGGAGACAAATGTCATGCGTGGCTCTATTCCCCACCACCCCCACCCAAAAAAGAAACACCGACTGATGGCGAGGAAGAGCCTACCACTGAAGAAGAAGAGCAGCCAAAATTCCAGCCCCGACCAGTCGTCGTAATGGCCTCTGGATTTGGAAATCAGAAAGATGTTGGCCTCGATCGATACGCCGAACGGTTTGTCCAGGCTGGGTATGCCGTTTTTACGTTTGATTACCGAAGCTTTGGACCTAGCAGTGGAACCCCAAGAAACTGGGTCTCCCCGAAACGACACATTCAAGACTACCATGCTGCCATTGAATACATCGAGTCTCTCCCAGAAAATCTAAAGGGAAAAGTAGATCCCTCCAAGATTCTCTTGTGGGGAACCTCCTATTCCGGAGGCCATGTCTTGGAAGTTGCTTCGCAGCGACTCGATGATGCCAACATCAAAGGAATTGTTTCGCAAGTGCCACATCTTAGCGGAAGCGTTGCTGCCGTGAGAGGCATCAAACGAAGAGGAATTCCAAAGACGCTACGCATGTTCCTTGCAACCGCCCAGGATCTGGCCCGACAATTCTTGGACATGCCCCCGGTGTGCGCTCAAATTATCGGTTCGGGCAATGATTTGGCCGCCATGTTGGTCGAACCGGAAGAGCACCAACGCTACATTAGCAGACTGCCCGAGAAACGGCTAGGTGGGTGGCAAAATCAAGTCCCCGCACGGTCGATACTAGACTTTCGAATGTACAATCCGCTCGATACACTGAAGAAGCAACAATCCGATCCCAGTACAGCAATCAAGATTCCCATTCTCATTATCACTGCGACACTCGATACATTGACTCCTCCGGACTTGGCCGAGGAAGCAGCTCAGTTGCTGCCTACCTCGAAGATGATTCGCCGAGAAGCAACGCACTTTGCAATCTACGATCCCGACAATTCGATACCCGTGGCTGACGAAATGGCCAAGTTTTACAACGATTGTTTGGCTTCCTAATCAATCAAGCTGAGGGGCGGATGCGTACCGGTGCGTGGTAGAAGCCACCGAAGATAGAAAAAGAAACCCAATCGATTAGATTAGAAGGGATTCAACAATAGACTTTAGGACTGTCTCTCTGCTGCGAACAGTTTGAATCCTACAGGAGCACTTTGAAAGACCTACTGGCCTTCTTTTAAAACGTTGATCGGGGTCAGCTTTAGTTGGATGTCTTTGTCTGGGGCCGTGACGGTTCCATGAATAAGCTTCACTGGTGCATGGTCAGGAGCCAGTTCAAATTTAAAGGTTTGCAGCATCTTGATCAGTACAGAATAGGACAGGATTTCACTGTAGGACCTGCCAGGACATGATCTCACGCCATGTCCAAACGGGAGAAAGGCAGCACCTTTGGTGATTGGATCAACACACTTCCACTTCTGCCCCCCTGCAGAGTCATCGTCATCCACGGGTACAAGATATCTGCGAGGAGAAAACACAGTAGTTGGTGCATTGTCAAGGCCTGCTGGGACACCTTTGGGAGGAGATTCTTTCTGAAGTGTAACGTGCCAAGCAATAATAAGGACCCGGGAACCTTTTGGCAAAGTGGTTCCACAGAAAGGAATGTCAGCAGCTGTCTGCAGGCCCTGTATAAGAGAAGTATAGAAACGATGGACCTCGTGGAGAAATGACTTGAGCAGAGGTAGTTTTGTGTAGTAATCATGAAAGGACGCTTCATCCAAATCAAAGCCCTTGACATGATCTCTTAGCTCGCTTTGGAGTTCAACATTGCTTGCCAAGAGAAATAGTGTGGTCGCCAAAGTAGAGCTGGTGGTTTCTGTGCCTACAAGAGGGTAGTAGTAAGCAAGCTTTGGCTCTACAGTGAAACTCTGCTACAAGGTCCCACTTACCGGCAGCAAATGCAGTCATGATATTTCCAGTGACTCTTTCACGGCTTAGTTTGGAACTTTCTTTTTCCATAGCATCGTATAATTTTCCAAGGAATAGTTTCGATTGTGGAGTTCCGTCGTGTGTGGTCGGGGCAGAAGCACGGTCCAGTTCAAATGCATCTATAATTTTGCTGACTGCAGCCATGCCCTTCCGAAAATATTTTCCGTATCCATCAATATCTTGACCAATGAAAGGAATATTCCAATATCTGATGGGAGTGAACATCCGAGCTTCCATTGCCTTGAAGGCTCGAAAGGCCATTGATGCCACATCTGACGTTTCATTGCGCAGGCAGCCCATGTCATGACCAATAAACACTTTTGCAACACTATCAGCAAGTGCATGTGTCAAATCTTGATTCACGGTTACAACACTGGCAGAGCTTTCCTTGGCATCAACCTCCCATTTCTGAATCAATGATGTGGCCGTTCCTTTGAGGATAGTGAGGTAGTCTTTCATGTTACTTCTGTTGAGGGTTGTGGATATCAGCTTCCTCTCTTGCTTCCATTGCTCCCCTTCAGCAGAAAACACTCCTGTGCCGCCCACACTATCGACTGCCGCGCGAAGATTGGCAGTACGTGTCACCTTGAATGGCCTCTGTGCATAAACTTCTGCAGCGCGATCTTCTCTGCAAACCACTACCATTCTCTTACCAAACATGTCAATTTCGAAGCAACCACTATCACCGTATTTTTCAGCCCATTCCTTCATGACTTCAGTGAACCGATCTCTGCCTCCAGTAAGCATATGGTAATGGCCGACTATCGGTAGCCATCCTGGAACTACGGTCCATGGCTTTTTCTCTCTTCTCGTCAGCTGGAGTGTGTACCAGGAAGCAAGAACAACCGTCAACAAAGAAAGCACCGTTTCCAAGCTGATTTCCAAAGGAGGAACCATACTCTACTGTTTGGTGGTTTAGAGGGGTTGTGGAACTGTCTTGTTGTGCTGGGCAACTGTTGGGGGCTCTTGTCAGCCAGAAGAACGCTCGAACGGCTTCATCGTGTTCTCGCACCGCTTCTACCAAGACCTACCTGTATCTCGGGCACACGTTTCGTCCATACAGGTAGACTGTGAGATCTTCACGCGATAAGTTCTTGAATCGATATCTTGTGGGCTACTCGAGAGCTACTTTCAGTGACCTACAACATCTTCACAAAGATCGATCGATCCAAGAAAAGAACAAAAGTGAGGAATCGGGGCTGCAGAGGTGCATGCGCCCTTTTCGCGCGAAGCTTCACTACGTATCGCTGTTCTCGCACAAAGAGGAAAAGATCCAAAGATCCGCGATGATCGAATCGAATCGAATCGAATCGAATTGATTTGAATCGAATGATTCAATCTTTCGAATCTTCGATCGACACGGACCACGTACGGTACGGCAGGGACCTCGGTTGGTGGCTTGGGCGGCATTGGCTGGTGTATTTACAAGTGCTCCCGGCCCCAGCTTGTGCTTGGAACCAATACAATTGAGCCGCTCGTTGTGCCCAAGATTTCTCACTGTTTTGCTGGCTCCGCTCCATATTTATATGCCACCACCGCAGCCAGCTAGTTAGAACTTGGAAGATGAGCCTTCTGTGTTGTGCCTGTGGAGTTATCAAGTCGCTGGGCCAGTTCTCGAACTCTCAGAGAAGGAAGGAAGATAGCCCACGATGCATCGACTGCGTAGAAGCCCAGCACCCTACCGGTAGAACACTCACGTGTTGTGCCTGTAGGGTTATCAAGCCACTTGGACGCTCTCGAATTCACACAGAGAAGGAAGAAAGATAGCCCAGCACGATGCATTAATTGCATAGATTCCCAGCGCACTAAAGAGAGTCGAAACGTGGAGACCGGATGTGCAGCTGATGGGGCCTGTCGTGTGAAGGAGGTTCAAGAAAAGTACGGCCACCTTTGCGAGATACCAAGTGAAGCTTACCGCGAAGCTGGGGTTGAAGATTCGTGGAACGACTTTGTCACAAAACGAGACGTAGGTTAGCTGTCTGGGATGCGCGAGGCATTGCCCATGACATTGATACCCAATGGGGTGCAATGCCTGGGGGCGGAGCCTATTCGGACAGCAACTATTACTACGAGCCAGGAGAGTACGATTTCTACTGAACAAAGGAACCAACCATTGTCTTGAGTAAGCAACATCCAAGAAATACATGTAGACTTGCTTACGGTAAGGCGACAATAGTTAGAAGTCTGCAATGGTTAGATCAGCTCACACCCAATTTGGAGATCGCGTTCGCATAGGGGTGGAACCCATGAACCCGGAGAAAAGGCAGCAACCCTCGACGCTCTCTTGCGATGAGCAGCGCGTTTGTCACAGTCGCGGCGACCACCGGTTTCGACTTCAAGCTCCTTAGTGACCCTGTCCACCAATATTGTTGCTCCATATTTCGCGTACAGATTGCGAGCTTGAACAAAGTACTGGCTGGTTTCGGCCGTCTTGTTAGTATGATCTCGAAGCATCAGAGCCAGCTTCTCACTGGCCAGGGCTTGTTCCGCTAGGAAGCCCTCGTGATCTGCAAATACAATCGATTGACGATACTTGGATTCAGCCAAGTCAAACTTCCCCTGGCTAGCTGCCAGGTCTGCCTCAATCAACAAGGCCTTATTGGCCATGTTCTCGGGGCAATGATTTGAAGCTCTGCGGATTATTTTCAGTTTTCGCGTAGCAACTCGAAGTTCCCGGTTCCTCGTAATGGAGTGCTTGCTGTGCTTACTTGCCAGCGCCACTGCCACAAGTCCCTCAAAGAATTGGTGGAAAGTCCACATTATTGGCACCATGGGAGGAAGTTTCCCATTGATCAGTCGTCGAATTTGGACGGAAAGTGATTCTGCATAGGCAACTTCGTTGAGGTAGGTTGCAAGAACGTACTTGATCATCAGAGTCAAGGACTCCAACCCGGTGTTGTGTTCCTGTCGAGCTCGTGCAAGGAACTCTTTCTCGTTCATAATCTCCCCAGTCAAGACTGTTGGATTTTCGGCAGCTTTCCCCATGAGGTTGTGACAGGCTTGAATCACTGGCAGGTAGACCCTAGCAATGTGGTGCTGCCCATAATCATTGCAGAGCTGCATGTACTTGAAAGATGACTCAACAACCGACTCAAGGGCTTCACCCGTCCAGAACTTGACACCGCAAGCAGATGACGTTGAGTAAAAGGCTGTCTCCAGGTCCCCTGTCATCATGGCCAAGCGGTTGGATTCGAAAAGCGTCTCAAGTGCGTACCGAAAGGGCTGTTTGTGTATTCTCAAGATGAGGCCCACTCGTTGCAGGGCACGTGCCATCAACTCTTTGGTTGGGTGCTTCTTCAAAATTTTCAACGAAAGCTCTCCAAACCGACATCCCTCATTGACCTTCCCAATTCGGGCCAAGGCTGATCCGTAAAAGGCAAACCCAACACTACCTGAGGGTCAAAGATAGTTGCCTTGAGTCAGGGGAAATCAGGGGCCTTTGGTGCCATTGACTGCTTGTACAAAAACTTACTGTAGGAGCAGAGTCCATGATCTAGCGTCAAACGAATGAGCCTACAAGCAATCAAGGCGGTGTACTCGATGTGGCTCATCAAAGCAATGGGGTAGAGCACATGAAGTATGCTCATGACCGCGACAGCATGTCCGTCTCTCATCTTTGGTAGTGCCAGGATATCTTCATCGCTCTTACCGCGTAGGGCCCGCCGTGCTTTGTAGATTTCCAGCTTGGCTCCAACTCTGGAAACTCTGCTGGGAACGGGCTCCCCAAGTTGTCGGAGCAAACGAATCCCCAACATGCCCGCCTTGGCATTCATTCCTCTCGACCCCATAGACAAGATTAGTGTTGTATCTGCTTGAAGTCCATCCTCAAAGACCCTTGCGTGCTCCCGTAGTTCCTGGGCGAAATGGTCCACCCGGTCATGGTCGCCATTGCAGTACGCCAATTCAGCTGCTGCATTGAACAGGCGTAGACTGAGCTCATATTGGTCCTCCCAATGGTTTTCAGAGAGCAAATTGATGCCATCCACGACATGATCTATTGCTTTGGCAAATGCGGATGACTTGGCCATTAACTTTGCGGCCTCCAAACACAAACTGGCAAGCTCTCCCTTTTCCATGTCGGAAACAATCTCGGTCTTTCCACACAGTATCAAGTGCAGAAAAGTCGGCAAGGCCTTTGGAGTACCCGGTATATTGATGGCATTTTCTTGAAGATTTCGGCCCAGAAAGAGATGCAAAGATGCCACCTTGTCTGGAGGGATCAATTCCAAGGAAGCCTCCAAGAATTTGTCGTGTTTGTACCGTCCAATGCCCTCCTCGAAACAATATTCCCAATAGCCATGTTTGTTGCCTAGCTCCAAGGCCTGACGCACTTGGTCTTGACGCGAGGCCCCACCTCCAAGAGCCCAGCAAATGAATGACTCTCTGATCTCTCCTCCCAGACACGCTGTTCCCATGAGAACCTCTTGCATGTCTTGTGGCAATTGTTTCATCCTTTCTACAATATAATTGTCACACTGGTAATGATCATTGTTGTTGTCGTCATCATGGATTTCATTCTCCTGTGCCGCTTGTTCTTCTCGCCACACCCAGACGCCATTGTTGGCATCCAAAAACAAGGCATGGTTTCGTTCTAACCGACGTAAGAATTCTATTACAAAGAATGGATTTCCATTGGTGTGCTGAAATGTGACTTGGGCAAGGGACGTTCGCTGGTCAGGAGGCAGATTGGTCATGTCTCCAATAAGGTTCGACACGGATTGGATTGAGAGGTTCGGCACAACAATCTCCTTGATTCGGGTTCCCTCCTGTTCCAAATCGCGGAGAAAGACGGACAGTGTGTCATTTGGATCCACTTCATCTCCTCTACAGCTCCCTATCAACATGAGACCTTGATTGTTGTTGATACATGGCGATACCAACGCCCGGATAAGGTCCAATGTGGTTGTTTCGGCAGCATGCAAATCATCCAAAAAGAGGACAATATTTCTTCGGCTGGGTCCTCCTCCACTGCAAATGGCCCGTAGAAATCGGCGCAAGACCACCGCCAGTTGGTTCTGTTTGTCCAAGAGCGCTTTGCCCCGTTTGACCATTCGTGAAGCGGCAAATTCAGGTTCACTTCGTTCGCTCGAGTCGACACTGGCAAAGTCGTCCAAAGAAGTTCCTTTCTTGGTGACGGACAAACGTCGTAAGCAGGGCGCCATTTCAACTAAAAGATTCCATTCTGGTCCCACCACGGCTTGGATAATCTCTCTCATGGAAGCTCTGGTTGCTTCTGTTTCCACATCCAATGCATGGTCCACAAATTGCTCCAAGGCTTCCACAATGGGAGCATATGGGCGGGTAGCATTATTGTTGCTCATACATTTTCCCGCCACGAAAATACCTCCCTTGTCTACGACGTGTCTGCCAAAGGCCCGCGCCAAGACAGTCTTTCCACTGCCAGACACTCCATTCAACAAGATGAGCTCGGCATGGAGTGGTTTGTGGGCGGTCCGACGTCGATAGGCTTGCAGCAAGGCGTTGGCTTCCTCGTGACGCTGATACAAATGCTCGTTGGAAGCCAAGTTGTCATCAATCGTTTCCAATGGGAACTGTTGCTGGTCTGCCATGATTGCTACCGTACCGTACGGTAGTCTACTAGCTGGGTAGTCTGCTGCTGGTACCGGTAGTGTACAGTGATGATATTATGATGATCCATCTGTCAAGATGGTGCCTCCATCACCGATGCATGCTCTGCCGTTGGAGGAGGGCAAGATCCAATCCGATGAAAGTTCTGAGGTGAAGGCACTGTCATGATGCGCGTGATTTAAAGAAGTAGTGTCAGCACCACCATGGTGCTACCGATACGGTACCGTACGATACCGGTACGTAAGCTCTACGTACCGGAACCGGTACCACTGTACCCGTAGAGCTGGGGTTTCTACTAGCTAGCTAGTACATGATTAGACTATTCCTTTTCTTTCCACCCTACCGGTACCCGTACCAGCATCTACGACTGTACCGTAAAAGTATATCCCAGAACTGAGAGAAATACTGAGAGCCTGTACCTGTGGTAGTGGATCCTACAGGAGGTATGGAGAGGTATCCATCGTACCCAACACCTGGTGTATGCAAGGTCGATTGTTAATACCAGTGTCGACCTAGTGAAGGTCACGTCCTCAGTCCTAAGAAAAATGAGGTTCGCACCTCTACTACTCACTGTTAAGATAACGGACGCACCTCTTTGGCTCTCGAAATCGCTTGCTCCACGAAAAAGCACAAGCACAAGTCCTCGAAAGCTACTAGCTAGCTAGTACTACCGGTAACGAAAACGAAAACGAAAAAGATCAAGTCCATGTAACAGACTCACTATAAGGCATGGCTAGCATGCTTATCAAACTAAAGTAAACAAACTACTGAGCACGAACAATGCAAAGATCCTCATGTGCCCATAATGTTTCCTGCTTGATGGCAGAGTAATATTAAAACACTTCCTTTGTAATGCTCCTAATCTTGGAGATGACCCAAGCTGGAGCTTTCTTAGCATTGACAAGTGTAGCCATGAGAGTCCAGAGTGGCTTCCTCTGGAGTAGGTTGACTTGCAGCCCTGATATCTTCAGCAGTGAAGTTCTTGGCTGGTTGTTGCCAACCAATACCATGGTCCACCTTGCCAAGCAGAGCAACAGTTCTGTACTTGGTAGCTTGGCAGGCCTACTATCACAGGGGTGGTGGCCACAGTTGTCTGTACCTGAGGCTAGTCTGGCCATTCCGGCGAGTCCTTTCCAAAGTCAACCCATTTCTAAAAAGATTACCATCACCTGATCAGGTGTTGCCATCCTTGAGGCTGAAAAGCAATCCTAAAAAGATACAAAAATACATAGTTAGCACATATAGCCATCAGTTGCAATAGCCAACAAGCCACAAGTCCACACTTACCTGCAAATATTCCCATTGAGTTTCGTCAGCTCGCGCCAAGCCAAGTCTCCAACACAACCTCTCAAAGCAGCCAGGCCGAACTGTCGCGGGTCCTACTTCCTGCGCTATGAGCTGCTGGAGCTGGTTGTCTGCGCAATAATCCTTGTCAGAATCTCCTCGTTCGTTATACCTGCTTTGCGTTTGTCATAGCCGTCACCTGCCGAGACTGAGTGGCAACTTGACGAGTGCTTGCCTGGTCCGGTCGTTCCCGTAGTGCACCAGCCGTGCCACCAGCCCCTTCCCGTATCCATCGGCTCGATTTCGTTGATATGGAGCTTTGTGTTGTGCTCCAAATAGAGAGAGGCATTTCCCACAGGGTTGACGCCAACAGGAACATCGTCGTTGATGCGCTCGTACGCTATGTTGGATCCTAACACGAACACGGAGGCTCCATCCTCTCCTCCAGATTCGTCAAGAGCATGCCCACAAACAGAGGCAGAGCCAAGGAAGCGAAATGTCGTTGACACGTCGTAAAATGCATGTGTCCTTGGCACCAACATGCTCAATCAACCAGTCAGGAGTCACTCTCTTGGCACTCCGGGTGTAGCTTGTAGGCAATAGGACCCCCCATGCAAAGCTTTTCGTCAACACGAGCGTCGATCCAGGGATGTTCAGGCGAAATGTAGTCATCAACAACCCGTCCAGACAAGCGAGCATTCCAGCGACCTCGAATGTCAACTCCGTCAGCAGTAGCACCCATCCCTCTTGCCAGAGTTGTCAGCAACTTCCGAATTGCTGTGCCCAGATACACCAGAATGGAGGAGGCCACAGCAGAATTGGAGCGCAAAAGACGCCTTGAGAAGTTCGGGTAGGCTGCGTTCGTGCTTGGGAAGCCAACTTTAGGATCGCTTTCGGGGTTTGAGATGCATTCTTCCCGGACCAAGGCGCATACCCGTGTTGAAGGGACGCTCCCTTATTCTGCAAATCCGACATAGCACAAAGTCGGTATCCATCGACCCAAGAATAATTTCGTCGGGGCATTGTCGTTCTCCCGAAATATTCTTGGACCAAAGCACCTTGCAACTGAGCGAAAAAGGGAAGTCTGGATGAGGCTTGTAGTCGGAATAATTCAACTTGGAGATGTCATACCGGTACGTCCTGGTGATGAGATGAACTTGCTGCTTCACGCGGCCTGTCGGTCGTCTTTTGTTGCATTTGTGGGTTCGTGGACTCCAGTGGGGAAGCCGCACGATTATGAAAGGGTGGTGACAGGAGGAGCATATTACACAGACGATTCAGGTGATATCATACACAGACACATATATACGGTCGTGCTTTTGAGGAGCTGATACTTGTGCCATTTTCAATTGGACCCATACCTTGCGTCCGGTTACCTACAGACTCCCTCTGTCTCATCGACAATCTCGATTTCGGCAACGCAATCGTCGCCGTTGTTCATGTTATTGTTTTTCTTGTTGTTGATTGGGTAAGTGTCTACGCGGAAGTAGTGATTTAAAACTGCTTTACACCTGCCTGCGTGTGGGCCTTGGCCCCGTCTTGGAATCACAGTCATCGAGTTCATCATCGTCAAGCGGTTCTTCCACCAATTGCAAAACGTCATCTGGTTCACCAATCTCAAAGTCTGTACCTGCTGTCTAGGAGATACATCATGCCTGCTTCCTGTCTATCCACCCTCTCTAGCTTGAGGTCGCGCATGTGTGCTTTTGCAGCCCAGTGTGTGTGTGTGCAGCTGTTTCGGGACTTGGCTTTATTGGCTAGAGTAATCAGTGCGGGGTGTGAGGTGCGCATCGGCTATTCTTAGTTTGGGGTTGGTTACAAGTCCGGATAGTACAACATTTTGTGCGGATGGTACCTGCGCCTCTAGATGAATTCAGTGGGATCTGAGCGGACAAGCGATGATTAGCGTGCGAAGGCTTATTTTGTTCTTCTTCCTCTCTTTGGCTACAGTTCGAATGGGACTAGAACACAACGAAAGCGGAAGCAGGGCGATCAAAGTTGCCATGACTTTCTCGTTCTTGCGGGAATCGCTATCAGAAAATCGGTACACACTCCACAAAGTAACGCCTACGCATTACTGCCGCATTTTCAAAGTATGTCCTCGGGGCAGACGGGTTGCTGGTATCAGTGTGTCTGTGTGTCTTGGATGCTTGTAAAGTAGCGGCCTTCATATTGTATTGTTTGTGCTGGTGAAGTTCTGCGACGAATATTGGTGCGACAGACCTTTGCGCGCGAGGAGGCAATTTCTGGTACACTGTAGGCCGCCCCAACTTAGGTGGTTGGGTTTGGCGTCCGTCTTTATTCCTTCACCAACTGACCATCCCGAACGGTTGAATAAACTCTCACTGTTAGCTATTGCCAATATTTTTTTGCCAATACAGAGAAATGGAATGAGAGACTAGATCACTCCAGCAGGCCACAGTATGGTGAACTCCAAGGTCTGAATCAATCGGTTTTGGGCTGGGGTAATGCGCATAAGGCTGAAAAGGGTGATTCCTGTCATTCCAAGTGTCAACATCCCTATACTCAGGAGCGCATATGAACAGCCGAGCCTCGTGCTCACTCAAGCTAATATTGAGGGACGCACTGGGCTGTGACTTTGACATCCGCCAGCACCCAGTTCTCATCCATTTCGGCTCTGTCCTAATAACTATGCAACTCGGTATGTGTAGGTTTCCGACTGCTTCAGAAAACTTTGGTACTCCATCGAAGTTCTCCCTCCATTCTATTAACCACTCGTAGTCGGCGATATCTACTACGCCGTACTGTACGTCAACAATGGAATCCGATTCCGAGTTTACAAAAAGCAAACTCGAGTCGAAGTACAACAGGCGCTCAGTGCGAGTAATAGATAGATGCAAATGTAGTAAAGTAGCGTCGAATAATTAGTGACATGAGTGCATGAACAGGGAGAGGAAAGCTCCTGACTCACTCGGTGGAGGAAAGCTAGGGGGAAACAATTGCAACAACGGGCACGGGCACTATTTGATCGCGAGATCAAGGGCAGGTAACGTCTCCATCGCAACTCAAGAACCCTTGCTTGTGGAGGGACGTGCCGTTCATGTTGCGTGAATCTGTCACTGCGGCGTACGTGTTGGGCAACAGCAGACTGATCGCGGAGACGAGCATAGCGTGATCATTTATCGAGAACGTTAAGAATGGACGTCACCTTAGCAGGCCTCGATCACTCTAATATGTTCCAGGCACGAAGCTTTGTCATGTCGTCCAGCGCCCAGTGCCATCTGGCAACGTGGCATTATCTCCTCTCCGCTGCTTTGGCTTTTTACTTAGTGTGTCTTATGCCTCTTGGCGTGTCTGTACTCTGAACCAGTAATGTATTTCAGAAAATGCATGTTCCATAGAGAGCTCATACAATGAGCAACACTTCAAAAGATCCTTTCAGGTAGCTGACTCTTGGCATGGATGGGGAGCTGCTACAGGTATTCATAGCTCCAGCTTCGGGTATGTGGTTGTGTCGGTGACGATTCGGAGAAAATCAACTGGAGAAGAAGAAGGAACATCTCCGGGAATAATACCGTTTCCTCTGTGACTTCAACCGAACAACCTCGGCGAGGTCACCTCTGTGTAACAGTTGCTCTTTGGTAATTATTTTCGGTTAAACAAAAAATCAATGGTAAGGTGGGACTTACATGTATACTTGACTTGATAACCCTACAATTCCTGTGAACCTTACCCCGCTGATTTACTGTTCTGCTCTATTTCTCTGGCCTGACTCCAAGCAACGACCTCATCGGAGCTTATTCTCAGAAGCCCCACCGTATCTCCGTGAGGACACTCTGCTCAACATGAACAATTCGAATCACTACTCACGGGTGTTGTGCTAGGACGAACGAGAATTCGATTTCATTTCCAGTATTTTA